CACATGGCAGATCACAGCAGTCAGATACCCCCCTGCAGCCACATGCAGGAACCACTGGTTGCACCAGTGGCTTCAATTTCAGTGGCTGAAAGATGCACAACTCGTCATTCTAGTTGTAATATACGCACGATAAGAGTTTATGCAGTATTGACTGCAGTCTTATCCGACAAATTTGAAGGCAGTATGGAGACCTACAGTGATGTGAAATAGCTTCACCTTCATAGTTGAGGCTGCAGGACAAAGCATCACAATCACCGTCACCACTCCCTGGCTCATCGTCACCACTCCCTGGCTCGCCATCGTCTGGTTTGTTGCAATCAGCATATATCATCGTGCGCATCGTCAGTATCATCACCATCGCATCAGGAGCCGAATCAGTAGCACTGCATTGAAGGTGCTGCCGGCGCCAACTCCCAAAGCTCTCCGTGTCTGTCAGGGCCTTGTAGAGTGCCTCGGACCTGAGGATCTACTTTTGGGTTTGGGTGTTTGTGGCGTGGAGTTCGGAAAGATCGGGAAACACGAAAATCAGAGCGATGGTAGCGGGTGCTCAATGGGGGCAACTTGGGTACAGGATACGAGCGCTTCCTACCTTTGCGACAGCTTTCGCAGAGCTCAGCACATGGAATGTGCCTATGTCCGTTTGTACGTTGTCTGCGCAGTATTGCTGACTCAGCCTTGGCTTCTGAGGCTTTGGATGAGACTCTGTGGGCTGACTCCTTTGGTGCAGTGGAAACCAGAGCCTGGGATGCAAGCAGTGAAAGAGCACAAGGGCGGGTGCTGGGTTCCGAAAAGCTGCAACCACCACCCCGTCTTCGGCAGAAGTGTGAGGGTGCCAAACTACGTGCCGGGCGTATGGAGCTGCACCAGGTTTTTTCTCGCAGAAGTTCATTGTGTATTGGGTGGGCCTCCTTGCAGGTGGCGCGCAGTGGGCGGTGTGCGGGTGATTGCTGGAAGCAACTTGACACCCCCACCAAGCAACCCTTTGCCCGTGCAATGCCAGGGCCGTAGATGCGATGCAGTCAGCAATCTTCGCGCCTTTTTCAATGATGTCTTCTGCAGACAGAGATCAGAGATTGAGAAACGTTAAACTTCCTAAACCCGAAACCCTTGTTTCCCTGCACCCTTATGATCCGCTACAGAATTATTCCCCAACCCTCTTGGTGATCTGTAACTGAAGACTCCCGGGGTCCTACTGGTCACACCTCTGCTTCACTGTAATAGGAGGATCCCGGGTAGGAAGCAGTCTACTGAAGCACAGTCAACTTATTTGTTGGTGATACTCGTTTATTGCCTGTCATTATGACTACTTCCTTCAGTTCCGTTTCGCTTGTCAGACTACAAACCAATGCCTCGCCTGGATTGTCCGAGTGGGAGCGCCGAAACCCGAAACCCTAGAGTGTGAGCGCCGAAACCCCTTAGCCCCTGAACCCCAACAACGCACTGAAACAGGTTCGCCCAAGCTACTACAGTTCGCACAAGGCTATGCGAGTGGCACGGGACCTTGCCTGCGGAAGTGAAGCAGGATGAGAGCAGCCTTCACGCAACCCTGACCGACAGCTCGCATACAGGTTTCGAGAAAGTGACGGGGGCTGCCTGTGGAAAGGAAGAAGACAGCTGCCTTCATGCGGACCTGACCGGATGTGGAGGATTGCATGCAGCCTCTCCTCGGCACGGTGACTGACACAGCTGACTTCATGGCTGCTAGTTTTCGCTGCCAATGAACGGCTGGCAGAGACATGAAGCCTTGCACAATGACAACGAGGTGTACTGCGCCTAAAGCCGAACTTGTTTCACTGAGTGGCTATGGAGTTGTAGGGAAGCTGGTCCCGTTGGATTCCAAGGGGAAGGGGACCCGTTACTCTGGTACTGTGGTTTAGGAACTGCGCATGCCTCGGGGCAAGAATCATATCTGTTTGATGCGTTTTTGTTTGGGCCCCTGCCTCGGGTGTAGTGAAGCAACAACTTGAGCACCTAGCCCGCGCATATTGCCTACCGTGTAGATTTTAGAGAGGCTCGCTTCGCACGAACTCTTGCACGAAGTCACGGGGGTGGTAACAAGTCCTGGGGCCCCTGCTTACTGGAGTGAAGGGAGCATGCCTAGTTCTTGTGTTTCATGCCGACCTCGCGCAGAGAACCTCGCCGGGCATGTCCAAGTTGTGAGAGCTCAAACCCCTAAACCCTAAACCCCAAACCCCTAAAACCCTAAAACCCCAAAACCCCTAAACCCTAAACCCTAAAACCGAGTGTGAGCGCCGAAACCCTAAACCCCAAAACCCCAAAACCCCTAAAACCCAAATCCCTACCTAACTTGTCGAATCACCCAAGGAGTCCGCGGAGTTTACGGAGTCCCCAGCTCCGTCTCCGCGAGCGCTGGCCGCTTCTAAGGCGTACCACTGCGACTTTTCTGAGCTTTGGTGGGTTTAGGGTTTTGGGGCTTTAGGGTTTTAGGGGAAAAGGGGTTTAGGGTTTAAGGTTTTAGGGGTTTAGGGGTTTTTAAAGGTTTGGGGTTCGAAGAGGCCCGAATGCAAAGGGGGTTTAGCGTTTAGGGTTCTAGGGTTTTAAGGTTTTAGGGGAACCCTGTATGCAAAAAGGTGTGAAAAAGCTGCTGGGTTTGGGGTTTAGTCGCGCTTGCACTGTTAGGGAGACCCTGGGCATACGGCTTCGTCTCGTTTGACTTGCAAGGCACCGGAAAAGACGAAACGATGTATCTGCACCTCACAGGAAAGATTGAACTTCACCTGGAGAAGATATGTGGTACAACGTCTTCCCTGGTGTTTTTGATGTTTTTTGGTGGATCTATAGGTGCTTTCGCTCAACTCTGTTGGATTGTTTTGGACAGCGAGCAGGCGAGAGAGAATTGCTTCGCAAGCATCGCATGTACAATCAGCTTCTCATGAGTTGTTCGAAAACTAAGGTGTCATTCTTCTGCTGAATTTCCTTTTCGTTGTGCTGGCGGCCTCCTCTGTGGCGGTGTGTTCAGATCTGGATGCGTCAGAAGAGTCTCACACCAAGGCAGATCTAGCACAGTGACGGTTTCAGAGGAAGTGGCGATTCATTTGCTTCTGTTTTTGGTGTGGTTGGTTGCGTATTGAGAGTTCACTTGATTGCGCCGATGAATGTTTTGATAGAGGCTGATAGGAACCCCATGTGCAGCCGGAAATCCTGCGGTGACGGTGCTGGTTGTTCCAGTGGTTCCGGGTCAGGCCAAGAGTCACAGGCAGCCTCACAGAGATTCGTCTTACTTAGTCTTACTTTTCGGACAAGATTTCCATGCCTTCAGTCCAAAGTTACGCACCATTGAGTGGACATGTGCAAGATGCCGCAGAGAGCTACAGGCCAAGTCCGTTTCAATCTGTATGTACGTGTAGCTACGGCAAAACTACAGTTGGAAAATAGACATTCCGGAACAGAGTGTGAGAGGCTCATGTGCCAAGGTTCCGTGCATATCTTTCTTTCTCTCTTTCTTCACCTACCTGGCTGCTTAACTACCTACCTGCCTGCCTGCCTGCCTACCTGGCTAACTGTGTCATGCTACCTGTCCGCCTATCTTTCTGTGCGTCTATATACCCATTTGAATTCATTTGGCTTGCACAGAGACATGCTTGTCTCTTTCTTGCTTGCGAAGTGGGAGCTCGGACGGTAGTTGTTCTGCACATCAGGTGTGCATGCATGCACGGAGGCCTCGGTGATGTGTCGCCAACCCCTCGCGACCGATCTGGCCTTCGGTGTTGGGGCGCTGACACTCGGCATGTGATGCCCAGGCCCAGGCGGGAAGGCCTAGGCGTAAGCCTTGCAAGCCCGAGTGGTTCTAATGCTCCCGGCAAGTGGTCGTGTCGTCATTTGGCGTGTGTTTCGCTGTTGTTGTTGCTGCTGCTGGTCGTTGGTCCTTGGTGGTTGGTGGTTGGGGTTTGGTTGGCAGTTGGTTGTGGCTGGTTGCTTATTGAGGATGTCGGTCATGGCTTGTTGGATCTTGGTCGTTGGTCGTTGGCAGTTGCTGTTGTTGTTGTTGTTTCGGTGGTGGTGCCGGTAGTGGCTGTGGTTTTGTGGTTGTTTATGAACCTTGTGTGAGCCGGGACAATCGCGGGTGCCATCTGAGGCTTGCAGTCTGGTCTTGCGGCGGCTTGGGCAGCTACTTCAAGAGCTCGCGGCTCCTAGCCCGCAAAAGCTTCGGGAGGTAGCCTTGCCTCATGCTGCTGTCCGTCCTTGTGCATTCCATTGCTGCATGCAGCGAACACATGGTCTGAAGTCCGCCCTGCCCTCTCCGAGGATGCAGCTGCAAATCCAGGATCATCTCATGCAGGAAGTCGACAGCGGCTCGACTCCTTTCTGTTGACTTTTTGTCTTACTGGACATGTTTGAGACTCAGAAGCAAGCTCACAAGCTCTTGGTCCGTGTGCCCATGCCCATTGTTTTTTCGACTTGATGTTTCAACATGGTCGCCGTACCGCCAGCCAACAAGTATTGGGAGCGGTTCTACTCTCTGTGCCGCATGGTCAGCATTCGCATCAAAACCATTGGCAAGGTACTGGCCTGACACACCAATGGAAAAGCCAGAAAGGCGGGAATAGGGATGGCACGTGGCATGATCGAGTCGAGTCCGGGTGAGAGAAAGAGAGAGGGATGGCACGTAGCAGCGCATTGCGGTAAACGTCATACTCGTTGCACCAGGAAAACAGTGAACCATGTAGCGCGTGCTTCTAGCAGCTATCCTCAAGAACCCTTCCCCTGCAAATCCTGTCAGTGAGTCTGCAGAGGCGTTGATGCAGTGGCACTGGGAGGCACCTGGCTCTTTGTGCTGGCTGCTCGTTCATGGATCATTGGACGCTGGACTGCACAAGCTTCAAGGTCTACTCCAGCACAGGGTGTGCAATGCGTCAAGGTTCAAGAAATGCAAGCAAGGAGAAGATGGCCGAAATCATTCTGATCAGTTCAGGTTGTTTTGCGACGCTTGGAGGGCGAGATGTCCTCGAAATTAACGAAGTTCCCAAGGACCGGAGCTGATGGAACCCATGGCAGCGGGGAGCCTTGCAGCGCAATCAGCATTGAGAATCCCAGGAGCAAGGGCTGTTGAGCTGTTGCTTCGACTTCGGGGCACGACTTGCGCAGTTCTTAGGAAGCAAGCGCTCTACGCGCTGGCCTGCGCCTGCCTCTTGGGAGCGTCTCGGCATGTCTCGGCGTTCCAAGGTACGATGGGGGTGTGGCAATGGCGCTCTAGTTCGTTCAGTGTGGCCTCGCCAAAGTGTGGAACAGAAGATAAACGAAGTACGTCGCACCCCCTGCATATTCTCCTTCGATTCTTGGAAGTGAGGCATGTTATGTGCAGATGTCCATGTGGCGTGGAATCTCCTTGACGGTGGTGGCCTTCGCTCGGTCCGTGCTGGAAGGCCAGGAAGGGCCCAGACTTTCTCCCCGGTTTTCACCGGCACACTTTTGGGTTTCACTACGGTTCTGTGCTCATCAAGTTGCCATGATATCTCGCTCATCAGATCCTGTTCGGTTCGCCTTTGTGTGTGTGTGTGTGTATGTATGTATGATGCAGGGCTGCCACATCCCCACTCCCCCCCCCACCCCATGCTATCCTCCGCCCTTCCCCACCGCCCCGCTGTGGTGTGGGGCCTGTGGTGGTACTCTTTTTGCCGCGACGTTCTTACTGTATGTGTTACTCCTTGTCTTCCCTCTTGCTGTGGCACCGGTGATAGTGCTCATGATGTTGTGCTGCTTTAGGCCGGGACATGAGTCGACAATCAGTCCGTGCTCAACATCATCCTTGTCGTCGTCATCTTCATCATTAATACCTTCAAAAGAATATCTGCCACCATCACCATCGCCATACAACCCTCATAATTCAGCATTGCAATTCATGTCAGATGTTGGAAACTACTGCGCCGATTGCCGCTTTCCGCACACGGCAGGGCATAGTGCGACACTCCCGATCCGTGCGCAAGGTCAAGGGGCCGGCAAAGGTGCGGGCCGGGGGTGGGCCGGGGTGGGCAGGGCGGGTGGGCGTGCAGCAGCAGGGGGTGGGGGGGATACCATTGGGGGGGGGGGGGGGGGCGGGTGGCGGCCCGGGACCCGAGAGCATGTATGTGTGTGCGTGTGTGGGGTGCGTGCGTGGCGTGCTCGTGTGTTAGCATGATCTATTCGGGTGGATGTCTGACTTAGCACTTGTCGACGCCTCTCTCTATCCGTCTCTTTGTCCGGCTTCGTGTGGCTCGCAAAAAAATAGAAAGGAAGGTATGCAAGGCTAAGTCACTGCTTTATATGAGGTTGTGGTCTGGCGAAAAGTTTAGACGCACCCCTCCACGCTGTCTTTCACCAAGGTTTCCGAGTGCCTAGCCATATTCATAGCAGAGGCCTCCCAGGTTCAGGTTCCTCAGCGTCAGCCCACTCCCCTGGACCTGCGAATTGCTGCGCGGGAGGCCAAGTCAGCAACCTCCAGGCGCGGCAGCGATGGCGGGAGGCTCCGGGGCACAAGTCATGGGAGTCTCCCGTCGCTTTTTGCCGCAGCAAGAAGAGCCAGAGACAACAAGTGAAGTATGCCAAAGTCTGCAGACCTCCAGAGGACCAGCTGGTCCCAACCTTACCATAACTCGGGGAATTGGATCTGAGGCCATCAGCTGCATGCGACAGACCTCGCGGATGTTTCAACTCACAGCCGCAGTGCCACCCGGTCGTGTGAAGCAAACATGAACGTTCCCTGAAGAGGAAGTGGATTCAGGTTTTCTGGGCACTAACTTGTGGCTGACACAAATTCCAGGCTACGGAAGTTTTAGAGCTGAACTCTGGCTTGTGCGTGAGCAGTCGTGAAGCTGCTCCAAGGCTGGCACTCACAACGGTGCTGGTCTGCTTCGGGGCTTCCCGGATTGAAACGTTCGCTGCAGTCTTGCGGATCGCTCCTGCCAGAAATAGTGAGCCAAGAGTTTATATATCATCCACGAGCAGAGTGCGCTCACAGGAAAGCAATTCGGTGCTGTGGTGCCAAAGCTTAGCAGAGTGGAAGTAATTGCGAAAACTGCCAGTTCCTCGGGCGGAGAAAGGTCCTGTACGACTTCGACCGGCGCCGCCACCTTGCCCCAGTGGCGGCATTTGTTGAAGCCGTAGGGGCTCAAGGGGCCCAATGAAGGGGCTCAATTCAAGTTACCCTTTGGTGTATTAGGGAAGTCGTGCTTTGGTGATTCGGAAGCAGGGCAGGGAACAGAGTTGAAGGTTGGAGTAGTAGCTTGTATCCTGAATTGTAGCCAAGCTTGGCACCAGGCCCACGCTGCTGCCCTTTTCAATGAGACTGTTGTCGTGGTTCGCTTTAGTTGTCGCTGTCCTTGGTTCTTGTGCTTTTTCTTTTGCCGTTGATGCCATTTCTGCAATTCCTGGTGCAGGCAGTCTCAGCTGATGATTTTGCTGCTGCTTCGCCGGTGATTGTACAGATGGTGATGATAGTGCGGATGACGGTGATGATTGTGGCGGCAATGATGCCGCATCCAAGTTGTAAGAGCCTCCAGCTCGCTCGGCTCAACGGTAGCGTCTCTGCCGGCGGCGAGCAGTTGGAGATTTGCCGCTGACCCCGAAACCTCTTTGATTGCTCGCTTGTGACCTTGGTTGCATCAGCACTTTTCCTGGATCGCCAAGTTCCGCCTCATGTGCCAGTCTCTCATTGTTGCGCCTGGTAGGTAGTCCCTGACCAGAGTGGGTTCGTGCGCAGATCTCCTCGGCATGTTCTCGCAATCGTTGCGTTTGGTCAGGTGACCACGGGAGTGGCCCGGAAGGTTTGTTATTCGCATCCTGCCGATTCTTTCTGTATTTCTCACAAGGGTTGCTGGTTCTGGCTGCTACTTGTACTGTTATGTTGGTTTGTTGCCTAGTATTGGAACTGTCATTGCGCTAGCGCGGGGCCTCCTCCACATGTGTTTGCTCGAGAGGTTCCTGTCCACCCTCCACTGCACACCAACAGCCTTTAACGGCAAAGAGGGGCGGAGAGATTTGTGCCCGAGGAATGGCTCAAACGAGTCTGTGTGAGCAGCCGTGCGGCCGCGAGTTTTCAGTTGCATTTGAACGCTGGCGGTCAAGCTGCCGCCGATCACCTTCCGCATGTGGCATCGAACTGCTCGCCAAAGAGCCGGATGACCCGGAATGAATGCTGTGTGGTGGTGCTTGTTGTTGTTGGTGGTCGTGGTGGTGGTGGTGTTGTCGGTGGTGCTGGTCGTGTCGGCCGTCAACTTAATTGTGATGGCGCAGGTGGTGGTGGTGGTGGTGATGGTGGTGGTGTTGCCGCTGCTGCCGCCGACGTTGCTGACAGCAATTGTTTTTTTGCTCTTTTCTGCCTTCTTGTTGATACGTTATGTTGTTTGTTTTGCAACTGCCTCCGTCTTGTTTCCGGCTTAATTCTGGCTATCGAGATGTGGCAATAGGTGTCAATGAGCAGATGCGCAAAATTTGCTACGCACTTGTAAGCGTGACATGCCCGAAGATGATTGCTGCCAATACTATGTCATGCGTTTTTGCTTTCATGCGTGTGACGGTCGTGCGTTGCCCTGTCTGTTGCCGCTACCTGATCGTTCACGGCTGCAGACTGCCCTGCCAACGCTCATCGTTGCCGGGATTCTTCCAGGCCCGCATGTGCAGCGTGATGCAGCGTATATCCTTTCACCAAGGTCGTAGTCGCAGGAATGCAGGTTTTAGCCCTGCGTTTGCGAGAGAAGCAATTTCACTCTGTGCGACAGATGAAGGCAATGCATGCTTCCAGGATTCGAGAGAGAGGTGCGAGATGGTGCGAGCGCCAAAGCCACGAAGTGGCAGTATGCCGCAGACTTGCAGATGCTTCTCGCTGATCAAGCTGTCTGTGAGGAATCCTTTCCTGGCATGGCTAGGTTGTATTGTGGGAGAGGTCAGTAAGCCAACGTGGTGCTCCAGGGCTGCAGGCCTCCAGGGTGCCCGGAAGCCTCGGTGTCTGTCGCCAGTTGCGCTCTACGTCGCCGCTTCTTCGACTTCTCACTGCACGCGGCTGCCATCCCTCGTGCTTTGGCGAAGAAGCAACATTCGGGGCTGCAGGAGGCTCTTGGAGGGGCATAGCTGCAGAGCCCTGCTTTAACAAAGGAAGGCCTTCCCAAGCAGCGAACGTGAATCCCATCCTTGTTTGGCAACAATATGCAACAATTAGTAGCTTCCCGAATCGAGAGAGATCACTTCGGAGTCATTCGTAGCTACTGTATGTGGTACCAAATGCCACCTCTCTCTTTCAGGCCACTTGAAAAGCACACAGCAACTTTAAAGTTCGCACCGTCAGAGAGGGAGAGAGCAAGAGAGAGCTTCGGGGGACTCCCGGCAAGAACCCTTGCGAAGGAAAGACAGAAGCTCTAACCCCAAGCAAAGCAAAGAGACAGAGAAAGGGGGAGAGACGAGACGCAGCAATCTCGAAGAGTGGCCATAGGGGTGCGGAGATGAGGCCTGGGTTGTGTGTTGTTTGGTGTACGGGGTCGGGGATTCGCAGCACGGAAACCCAGAGCCCACTACGATGGCCTGCGGGTCGCTAGACAACCCCTGAGCCCGGGAGAAAAGCGAGAGAGACGGCGGGATCCGGGGCACGCCTTTACGGCTCAGGGCACCCTCCCGAAAGCCTATAAGAAGAAGCATGGTCGATGCTTCAACGAGTCTAATGGGCTTCGCAGCTATAATGCTACCACGCCTGCTTGTCGAGCGCGAGTGCCAAAAGAAGAAACAGGAGGAGAAAATTGATGGGACCGCCATGCCCTGGAGTATTAGCGAAAGCAAGAGAGAGACGGATCCTCAGGTATGCATGTTAGAGGAGGACGAGGAGCAGGACCTCGGTTTGGGCTGTTGCCACGCACATGCACCTTGCATGACGCCTGGAGATCTCAATTGGTTGTGGCAGTCAAGGTTTCGTTGACAGTCAGTGCACTTGTTGTCAAAAATGAAGGGCCCAGTTTGCCGGAAAAGTTCGCAAGCTCAGAACCATTGAGCCAACGTGTGGTTTATCATGCTGCGCGGAACAGTCGGCCAAGTTCGCAGTGTGCCGACCCAAATTTGGGACCCGTTCTTCCCAGGAGGAAGACTATATGAACCTGGCACTTTTCCTCACGTTGAGCGAGTCAGGTCGCTTGCATGCTGGTGGAGTCGAGTATGTTGTGTTGTCCAGCAGCCTGCCTCAGCTGCTTATCATTGCGACAGTGACATGGCTGCTAGAGAGGGATCTCACATCCAATGAGCTGAGGCTTCTTTATGTGGGACACCCGAGCAACTCGCCTGTCGCGTTTTCGCAGGTTGCAATTGACACAAAGTCTGAACATTGACCGCATGTACCGATTGCACAACATTTCTCTGAAGTGAACTGAGATGTGGGAACCCTGTGCTCTCAGCGTAAAGAGTCCTTTGAACGATGATATTATGTGGCTTTACATGTGCAATATCTACATTATACTCCAGTGTCTGGTATTATATTCTGTTGTGTTATGATTCATGATTTTTTTCCATACTATACGTGTAATGAGGTAACGCTGGCAGTGCTTCAGAAGTTCCTTTACTTCACCACGGCCATTGTTGGAACCATTGGCTTCCAACTCAAGGCCGGCTGATCCAGCAAACTTGACGCTTTGTCTTGCATGATATTGAACATGCAACTTTTGATATGATACATGATATACAGGTATAGAGGTATTTACATATCTGTATAATCAGAGAAGTGTGCCAAGATAATCAGATATGAGACATGTATGACATATGACATATGCCTTGTTATATACGATGTATGATATATGTTACATATATATATATAGAGTATATGGTATGTAGTAGACAGCAGATAGTCTATAGCCTGCAGTCTGAAGAATATAGTGTCGAACATATACTAGATAGTAGATAGTGCATTATATATAGACTTGTTAGACTTGTTATTTGGTGTATAGTGCATCGTTTATAGAGTATAGTATATATAGCATATAGCTTATAGTGTATGGAATGTAGTATATAGCGTATGGTAGAAAAGATGGCTGTGTAGACCCTCCTCATTTCGCTTGAGCTAAACAGGGAGTGTAAAGTGTCGTTAACGCAGAAATTGGCCATGTAGACTGCGGACCGGACCAGGTGTTCCACTTCTGAGCACGGGCGTGAGAAGCAGATGAACTTGCAGCGCCATGTGGCGTTGTTATGGCAGAGGTTTGCTCTGCTGGAGAGGCTTTTAGTTTTGCTCTGCAAAACCTTGTAGCATGGGCAGCTGTCTGCACGGGTCCCTTGTCTGCCAAGCTCACCTCCCAACATATCTTTCAAGCGAGAGGCCCCTATGTGGGGCACTCTGAGCCGATGGGTGTAAAGACTCCGCAAATCTCAACATCGACCGAACATCCTTTGCATGCCTGGTAGTTGGCAGTCTTCAAGGCTCGAGAGCTAGGGGCGGATATGGAGCAAGGCTGTTAGCTATCGAGGCACCAGAATGGCCTGAAGCAGCTATTATTAGTATTATCATTCCTAGTTTTACGATTATTAGTACTACTAGTATTGGTGTCATTATTAGTATTACGATAATACTATTATTACTATTTTTGTTGTTATTGTTCGTTTTATTATTGGCAATCTTATTCATGAAGCTGGTTGTTGTCCGTCGGTAGTCGAATTTGCAGATGCTCGAGGATGCTGGAGCAGAGCAGCTGTTTCCATTCGCTTCACGATGGGGATCGCGGTGATTTACTTACCGCACTGCCTCGCTGTGGGGTGCCGCGGCTTATTCTGCCGCTTTACATTTAATCTTTCTCGAGCTTTTGGAGAGGCAATCCCGAGCTTTTGCAAGCTCCAGGAATGCCCCCCATCCGGGACGTGAAAGAGTCGCGCCGCAGAATGACCTTGTGCAAAGTCTGCGCAGCTCCTGCAACTGTTGGACTGCAATGCGGGCCTTCCAGCCTGCGGCGGGGCTGTTTTTTTATGCGGCAGCCATCGCAACCCATGCCAAGCAATTTACGAGTGAAGAGAATTTGGTGATGGATGCCCAAGACTCGACTTTCGGGCTTTGCTTCGTGTCACCCGAGCTCCTGCAAGTGTAGGACCTGGGACCAAGCTCGCACACGACCCCGTGGGTCATGCCAGATCCCACGCATCAGCACAACATATGCCTTACTTCATCATTCTGGGATCTAGCATCCTGTGCATAGAGTGCGCAAGCCCTGTATAGACTCCAGCCAGTACTGCACCCGTGTCTTCAGCTCCCGACGGCCCAAGAGAAGCACTGCTCAGCGCACGTCCACACGTCAAAAAGCTTAAAACTAGGTTAGTTCCAGGAGGGGCCTTTGAGGGTTAAGGTGAGAACGCTCTGATCCTCTTGCAAGACATCGCAAGACCACGTTCAGTGCCCCTGGGGCCTTGGGGCATCTAACATGGATGCCGATGAACTTGGACACAAGAACGGCCAGGCAACCATGCATTGCATTTTGTGCACGGGAGATTTCGGCAGGCGGACAGAAGTGCGGCGCTTTCGGATTTCGCCGAAAATCATTCTCACACATTGAGGCTCTGTTGGGACTTTAACGATTTCGAGCGATTTGAGGGCCGAAATGGGCACGGCGGTGGCGGAAGCGCAATCTCCACCAAGAAGCACACCAGGCAGAGTGTTGCAGCAGCACGGTTCATCAAGTTCGAGAAGGCCAAATTTCTTGAATTTTCTAAAGAGTTCATCGACCCCGGCGGAAGTGCAAAATGTGCAGCCCACCACGGCGCGGGCCCCACAAAGACGATGCACGCCTGTCATGCTTATGGACCTCCATGGACATGATGATTCGTCGTCGTCGCTGTTCTTGTTGGTAGTGGCGCTGGTGGTGGTGGTGGTGGTGGTGGTGCTGCTGCTGCTGCTGCAGTTACTCAGGCTGTCGATGATAATGGTGCTGATGTTGCACCCGTAGTGCCAGAGTCAGGGAGGGCCACAGCCGTCCTTACTCAGCCGCTTTGACAGCGAAATGTACACGTTCTTAACTCGATTCAGACGCAGCGGCCTGAGCATCCGGATGAGGGTCCTTCTTCATGTTCAGCGCTAGATGCCCGTTAAGGATGGAATGCAAGCGTTGCCGTATGAACGAACACAAGAATGAATCAATGAACAAAGGAAGAGTGAATGAATGAATGATGTGAATGAGTGAATGACTGACTGGATGAATGACTGGAAGAACGAACGAGCGAGTGACCGACCGACCGAACGAACGAAACGAGAAAAGCAACGAACGATTCGGCACGTGGCAGCCATGAATGTATGAATGATTTGTTCGTTTGCTTGCTTGCATGTTTGTTGGTGTTGTTGGTCGTTGGGGTGTGACATGGGCCACACACCTGCCGGGTTATGCTCAGCCACCAGCCCCGACTACGCATCGTGTCAACTGTTTGTATGTTTGTTCTTTCGGTGAGTGATGATGAGAACTGGGCGGAGGGGTTGCAGCCTGTGCACAACCACAACGGACGGAACACGAACAATGAGGTCCTAGTGCAGCCCCAAATTCTCCGGAACGAGCAAGAAGGATACCTGGTGGCACGTGCCTTTAACCACAGCCGGAGCTCTGCAACTAGGACCCCAGCAAAACCCAGCCAGGATTCGTAAGCAGGCCTTCTCAGGTTGTGCTGCAACAAATCCATCTAGGACCTACTGGCTCTTCCAATTTCAAGATCTCGCCACCACGAAGCCAAACAACGCAGCATGGCGAAAGAATCGTGAAAGGGTCTGTGCTGATAAGCAGCAGAGTTTTGCATGGACCGGCAGCTTTCCCATGGCATTTGCACACATACTTGATTTTCACCGAGCACTGAACACATGGACTGACTTGACCAAGACAGGGCCTGTCAGGATCTGAGTAGACACTTGGGAGTTTCCGAAAGTTAGGCGTACCTTATTTTGGAGTCCTTATAATAAGGATCCTACTATTTAGAGTACTATATCAGGGTCCCCTATCTTCGGAAACTCCCACTTCTGAAGAGAGGATACTGCCAGCAGCGCACCTCTGCTCACACCATCTCCTGCACGTGCGAAGAGAGGAAGGGCGCAGGACTCAGCTTGAATCTGAACAAGTTTCATGCCTGTCCCAGAGGCCTCTCCTCGAAGAGCCAAGAGTAGATTTATAGGAAACCCGGTCGAGCCACGGACGAGATGCGGCCAATTCTTTTGATCAGACCTGGGGAGTCGGCTAGAAGTTTCGATTGGGACATTCGCATCCATGGCTTTGCCAGGAGTACTTGCGCTTTTTTGGGCTTTTTCAATTTGACTCACAGCTGCTACCGTTCTGCACTGACGCAAGCTGACCCTGAACAGAGAAGGCATGTTGTGGCACCATCAAGCTTTACCAAGTCTTCAGTTGCTTGCGGCGAATCGGGTCCGGGAAGGGCTGCTATGTTTTTTCTCAACGCCAGCGTTCCTTGTGCACGTGGACCCTCGTGATCACGCCAAGAGTTCTGTGTGTTTAAGAACATATCGTGAACAGGGCAGCAGAGCTGCATAGAAGGCGGGCGGTGTGTCTTTGCACTTGCGCATGCAAGAATTGGCGTGTAAGAGTGTTCTAGGAGTAACCCCTAGCTCTGTTGCGAGTGCCGGTGCTGCCTCAACATTAGTAGCATTCAATGTCAGGGGGATGTAAGCAATCAAGCGAAGCTGTCATCATGGAGTGGCAGTCCACCATCTCTCACAGTATGCTCTACCAAATGTTCCCAGTTAAAGCCAAGTGCAAAGGCTTTAAAAACCCCAGCCGAAAGCCTGGCGTCAGATTTCTTTATCCAGTCGACATCAGACCCTGGGCAAAATGCTGTCATGGGAGTCTTCTGAAATCCCCAGGCCACATGGGTCCTGATTCTGGTAATCTGGTGTCTTGAATGACTGGACACACCTGGAAGCCTGTTACTTTGCTCCGAAGCCGCCAGTTCCACAGCACCCTCTTAGCCTTGGGCCTCCTGGCCAATTCAGGAAGCAAACTTGAGCGTTTCTGCGCGGCATTGCGGGCGAGTGCAGCTGGGTGCCCCTGTGGCTGTGAACAT